AACTCTTCTTTCTCGGTGCTGTGCGATGACACGGTTTGCTGCAAACTGGCTTTGTCTACCTGTAAGATGGCTACCAACTTGGCGGTTTTCTGATCGTATTGCCGTTGATCAGCCAGATGCTTTTCTAGTTGCTCCAGTGCTTCACTCTTCCTGTGTAGCTCTTTACGTAATTATCTATTTTGGTCTTCGAACATGGTGAGTTGTACATCTTTCTGCTGAATTTTGTTGTCTAAATTAGATTTGTCGATCTGTAGATTGGACACCACCTTTGCGATTTTATCCTCATACTGCAGTTGTGCTGCCAGATGTCTATTTTGCTGCGCGAGTTCCTCATCCTTCTCATGTAACTGCTTCTTTAGTTGGACACACTGATCATCTGTTGACTTTTGTACCACAATCTGTCTTATATCCAGAAGAGAGTGATGGAGCAGTCTGTAGAGATCTGTAAAAAAATGTACAGACAAAATTCAAGCAAATTTCACTAAAATTATTCAATGTTACAGACATCGAGTGTGGTTATCGAATGAGCAAACTGACCAGTGAAAAATCGCATAAAATAGCCAGGAGATTTAAATATAGCTTGCAATATGAAACTGGTAAATAATCAAGATACACTTGAACATATAAACAATGATTAAAAGAATGTTCAGTAATAGACCATTTTCCGTTCACTGCGAGAATCACGCGTTATGCGTGAAATCGAACGTAAAAACAGGACAAACAAAGGTCATTGCGTCGTAGTGGCGTCAAACATCGCGTGGGATTCGACAACCGCGAAAATATTTTGGGAGCATTTCCATGCTTAATAATGTGTTGTCCACATTTGATGATAGGCAATTTCGATTAAGTAAGGGTATTCGAAAGCAATATTCCTCTGTCGAAGATCGGCCGGTTGATGTGAGCTACGAAATAAAGAAATTCAAGTTCAAAATAAAACATTTGGTAGACGTTTGGCGTGCGTCTTTCATGCATCTCGCGAGATCTCGCAGTTGAACGGAAAATCACCTATTATGTCTCCTACAGTCAGATGATCTGAACACATTTGATAAGTATTAAATCATCCTTGACTTATTTCAGACACGTTGATTATCATCATAGTGAACAACAAATACATTCTGTTATGTGTGTTATTCTTACTATCATCATCATATGGAGACACTGAGTCACCGTCTTCTCTGATATAAGATTTATGAGTGCTGTCAATCAGGAGGATTTTCTTAACACCAAGCTGATCAAATTTTTCAGCATTCTTTGAGATAACTGAAGACACCATGTCAGCATCGCATTTATCTATTTTGAATAAACCAATCGACATGTCACTTGTAGTTTTCCCCCAGTATTCAGATACTATACTGCCGAATTGACGGAGGTTGCTGATAATATCACCCATCGTTGTCTGTCCAAGATCAAAGTCCAGTGCCAGTATGACCTGTTCTTTACCTACGGTACATGAAAACAAAACTAATAGTTAATAAATTGGTCGCTATTAACACAACATTCTTTACAAATACGGCATATTTCATTGCTACTACTGAACATGTGGCTATGACACCGAATGTGAAATGTAATTGCAAAACCTACCAACTCCATGCTCTTCCGTTGAAATCCCTTCTCGGTCACATTTCTCAGCAACAACATGTTGTGATTCCTAAATGTAAGACAATATTTACAATAATTACACAATTATGTAATCATGTTTGTTTCTACACTGTTTATATAGTAACGTAAACCATTCAGTATTACACAATATTACATTTAATATACCTTTGTTTTGCGTTTGTCTTTTGAAATCTCATCATCTGAAATAAAAAAGTTGATATAGCTGATATGACATTGGAAAAATTAAATATTTTTTTATTTTTTTATTCATGTTTTTTCTGAAAAAGATAGTGGTTAGTATGATTGCCATGGCAGTTTTGTATTGCAATATATATTACTAAGTTGGTTGTATTGTCGTCCAGGAAGATAATCACAGGAATAAAAGAGAAATTAGTAAATTGTCACTTTCAAATATATCCTATATTATGACAGTGATACAGCAAAATATATGACAATTTTAGATAATAAAATTGCATTATTTGTTATATCCATACTATGCAATACAAATCCATGTAGTCTGATTAGTCCATGCAATCAGATTCAACTTTAGACATAATGTATGGCTATCAAAACACATCAAAATCTCAATGAGATTGTAGTTTCAACTATTCCCAGCTCACCTTTTTTGTGCATAAAACTTTATTTGATCTATGTCTAGTGTCGATTTTGTAAAAATTGTAAAGAGTGAATTTGCTCCAAATTATTTATTTTGTCACCAATCCATCTATGATACCATAAACATGACTCCAAAAATAACTGTATCTCAGAATCGCAATGACAATAAACTAATGATAATTTCAATCATTGTCCACGAAGGGCGACCTTTATGCAAATGAGCCAGAACACACTATGATGTCTTTAATACGCACTCACAAATTACAATCATGTGACCCTGCATTATCAGATTTATAATACTTATGTAGTGATTTTCATTTGTTCCTTGACTCAATTACCCATTCACTTACATTGATTGATAAAAGTTAGAAACGACATACCTTTGAGAAAGTCACCCTTGCACTTTCTTGATTTATTTGATGTTTTCACGTACTTTCGCAGTTTACGAAATAATATCGCTACCTTGTGTAAACATTTAGACCACTTCCCCATTTTTTGCAAGTTGCGATTGACGGGTTCTTCTAGTGTGGTCGAGAACTAATTGTTACACACAATCTCCAATCTGATGAACAAAATTAATTTAATTACTGAATGTTTGAAATGCAATAAAAACTAAAAAAATCCTATGCATAATGAGAATCTGATGAAATTCGTTTTTTATAATAACACACTTACAGTATCAGCAATTTTCATTATCTTCGCAAATTAATATTATGAAACTGTTACGAGGATACCTCAAAGTATGCACGAAGACAGTATTGACCGATGCGTAGCAGAGGTTGATGCGCGACGTACTGTCTGAGTGCATATTTTGAGGTAACCTCATAATAACCTTGTTATTTTACTTCTTTTCCTTCCTAGGATACATCATGGTAATGCCAAAATCCAAAATGTTTTTTTTCTGTTAGAGGACGTGCGTGATCATTCCATATTCGGAATTCAGATTTTCCTAATATGGTGGGATGAAAATACCCCGTAAAATACCTCATAATTACGGCACGCTGTATCTTATGGCGTTACGGTGACAGATGTATAATAATATGTAATATTGTGTTCAAAAGATTCAACGTTTCAATAATATTATGAGTTGTATAACTGTTACCAGTTGTCACTGAATAAGTTGAATCATGATAAGGGAATTATATAAGTGCTCTTAGTACCATTCAATACGTGTTCATTGCATCATGGTAATGTACCATTTATTGTATGTCCCTTGTATTACATGCAATACATTTTTTTATTGAAAACCTTTAGACAGTAATATATCGAGAACAAAGAAGAATTATATATGGTTCATAGATTTTGCCACGGCTTTTACAGTGTCTGGAGACAGGGTTTATCTTATAAATTATTATTAAAAAACATTAATGTAAATTTATTTAAAATTATTAGAAACTCAAACACTAAAGCTAGTATTACCAAAATATAAATCAATTACCAAAACATTTAATATTAGAAGTGGAGTAAAACAGGAAAAGATCTCTTAGTAAATGCAAAGTAAATGTCCGAATGTATGGAAAGTATCCCGAAAATGTGTGCACAATTTAGAACATAATATAAGTTAGAAACATATTTGTATTAGCTAGACTACAAGAAAAATAGTATACAAAATTTAGAATAATAGCAACCTCAATCTGGAAATAGAAAAATAGGGCAATGGCCTGTTGCTCAACGGCTATTGTACAAAAGATTAGTGCTGTATATGCCACAACTTTTCGTTTAAATTTGTACTTTTAAATGAAATATCGCCAAACAACCACACAAAGTTGTCAATGGAATAATAAACACATGTATGCCTAACACCAAAGCATTGAAAATAGAGGTTAGTTGAAATTTCATTGTTAACCAAAAATGACAAAAATATTTGTCAAAATACACACCAAGTATCAAAACATTCAGGCGACCGGTTTTGAAGAAGAAGTCGAAAATAGAATGTTTGCCCAAAAATGACCATTTTAAAATAGTCTGAACTGAAATCAGGTCGAGTCGTAACAGCCGTTTTTTCATTATTTTCGCCTTAAGTTTCTACCTTTCTACTGTCGATGGGTCCCGAAACTATTTCATCAATTATTTTGATGGTGACGGTTCGAAATTGGTCGATTTCACGACGAAAACCGCGTGAAATGGGAAGCTATGACGCCTTGTGGTGTCACGATAACTTATTCAAGATGGCGGCAAACACGGGGATTTCGCTGTAGTTTTCCGCGGTTTTCGTCTTGAAATCGACCATATTGGGTTATAAATTGAAGTTCTTGTAGTATTTTTTTCTAAATTGAGGGGGTATTTTATTTATGCAACCAGTTATCAGTTTGCGACGTGATTATATTCTAAAATTTGTTCATTTCGAGTTTAATGTCAATTTTCTAAATTCCATAATTTATTGGCCAATTTACTGCCAAGAAACCATTAAAAATCTATCAATATATTATATGAACAAAGCAAAACGTTTATTGCCATATCTGACTGGTATTAAAAACAAATATAACCAGAATTACATTACTTCTGGTATAACCAAATTTAGGTAAACGAACAGGGACCATATATCTGTATCTGCTTTCAACGTTGTCCTTGCCACAGAGATCGGGAAATCAGTTACTATGGTACAGGTGGCATGAGGAAGTCGCATCAGGTAACGTTACTTTTCACTTGAATCTCAAATACTTGTGTACTTATGGTTACACAGGTACTAGTTTGTAAATACACGTTTTTTATCCAGCAACTAAGGGGCCTGCTATACTTTATTTTCTTGTTGTGTATTTGATTTTAAGATTTCCCTTTTAGCCAATCAGGGCCACGTTCATGTGCACTCGACACATAGCGTCAATTGTTTCATTTGTCCTGTGTCCTTTCCATTCATTCAGTTTTTGTTCCTGGTCACGCATGTCGTCATTTTTGCTATTCTGTTCGTCTTTGTTTCCGAACTATAGTAGCTGACCTCAAAATCAATCATGTTGTCAATTTACTTCCTTGCATTGTTTCCTGGTCGGGCAGATTCTAAAAAGTTCCTGATCGTGAGTATGGTTGAAGATCGAAAGTTGTAATCAACGCCATTGTTTACTATTAGTCGTCCACGTTCATCATGGCCCCTAAACGAAAAGGTCGTCCTCCAGCTCCTTATACCCACCCAGTAACAAGGCAAACGACGAGAATCCAGACAACGATCTCTAATATACCTAACTCCTCACTTGATCACTTGGATGTTGTCTTACCGATCATCCTGCAGCGCCGATTTTCCAATCAACGGTTGCACAACAAGATTTTAACCGCAAACTAATCAGGTCTGTGCTTTGTCTTAGAGCATTTATGTACCAAGTTTCATTGAAATGGGATAATAAGTACTTTCAATATAAGTGAAAAAGCCGAAAATTAATATGTACACATTTTTACCCCAAACTAATCAGTTCCAGAACATCTTTGTACCAAGTTTTATTAAAAAGTAATGATTAGTTAGAAAAATGGTTAATTATGCAAATTATGTAATTAGTATACATGATAATTCAAATTCTCAAAATGCAACTCTACACGAAGTAGTTTTACCACCAGAGGTTTATGAGCGAACCAATGCAGATGACAATTATTTTTTGGTGTTAATTGTATAATTCTGAAATTTCTCCTGCATTTCTCTCTGAACTTAATTTGAATTTAATTTGACAGCTGGATTTCCCTACATGTTTCAGGCCTACTTCGAACAATGGTGTACAGAGCATTTTACTTCGGATTGAAATATGAAAACCTGATATAATATAATGTCAAAATTGTTCTCCAAATTTTGACTTGTGTTTGTTTGACAGTTTATGCACAGACTGGAAATCTCTTTGTATGCTTCAGAGTGAATAAATATCATTTCCTCCCTAATAAATCACCAAAGCCCTGAAATAAACAAATCTTACAGAGGTCCATCTAATGTACCAGCATACCAATTATCAATGTAATTGAGCTGGTAGTTTCCAAGAAGATATAATAAAAATAATAACAATATTCGCCAAAAATATGGAATTGAAGATATCGTACCTACTAAAACATAGAGTGTGCCGCTTATGATAAACTCGATGCGAAAGTAGTTTTACCTCCTAAATTCGAAAATATCATTTGTGTTACCAAAGTATCAAAGTTTTGAGAAGAAGTCCGAAGTCACTTTTTTCACCAAAAAAGACAACAATTATTTCTGTTTTTAAGTAGCAGAAGTTGTTCCCAATCTGTTGCGTTTCCAATGTCATATTTGTATGTAGAACAAAAAAACAAGTTTCAGTGATAGCAACAGCAAAGCAAAACCACATGCCCATGTATAGGCGGTCCACTACGCTAGGATTGCTATTAACATTACTTATGTTTGTGAATTCCAGTGTCTTCACCTAGTAATTTGTCTGTGATTTTTGCTTGGCCGATTTGAAGTTGTTCCCAATCTGTTGCGTTTCCAAGGTCATATTTGTATGTAGAACAAAAAAACAAGTTTCAGTGATAGCAACAGCAAAGCAAAACCACATGCCCATGTATTGGTAATCCGCTACGCTAGGATTGCCATTAACATTACTTGTGTGTTTGATTTCCAGTGTCTTCGCCTAGTAATTTTTCTGTGATTTTTGCTAGGCCGATTTGACTAAAACTGTGTAGGTAGAACACACCTTCACTCTTGGTTGTAAAATAAGAAAACAAATTCCACAGCAACAGCCAAGAAAATGATTTTTGGATAGCTTCGCACTAAAAGTACCCCCTCCTAAAAAATTACGATTAAAAAGCTCATTCTACTCAGCTTGAGAGTGGACACAAAGTGATTATTATTTTTTTCGATATCTTTTTTCATTACCATGAAATTTGCTGGGTGTTAAAATCGGAAAAAAAGTCCTGGTCAATTCAAAACAATTTTTAAATACTTTCGCCGCAAATGTAAATGCCGAAAACATGTTGAATGGAGCGGATCGCCAGCGAGACTATTAGTTCGTTGATGTCGTTTGTCGTCCGTTAACAACAATAATAGAGAGGTAAGGGTAGCGGGAAGAAAGAAGGGTGATATAGGCAAACAAATATGTAGGTTTCCCCCACTGTTGTGTACAATATTCCTATTGTTTAAAGATTAGCCAATATGTAACAACTATCATAATTTATATGTAGTTTCCCTTTGTTCACATAGAAGATAACACACTGATAACAAGTGAATTATGACTACAAATGTACCAGGGGTCAAGGATCACGCGCTTCTTTATTTTGTATTTGTTTTAGTTCGGTAAATAAAGTTATTATAAAGCATACAAGTAAGTAAAATGCCACAAATACAAAGGCAGCTAAAACATGAGACATGAGGCGTGTGCACATCAGAGCCAATATTCTTGGCTTCATCGTGTATGCTGCCATTACCAAGTTCAAATAATATAGGCCAAGGCATGACTGGGAAATAGTGATGACATGTTCAAATGTTTTTTTTTTTCATTTGGTCACATGTCATTAAATGAACATAAGTACGTATACTATTATGTTATACATGCTTTGAACACAAT